GATCAGTGTCCTAACAGAATAATAACAAAATGAATACAATAGCACATCAGAAACATTGTACACCAGGATCCAGTGAGATTTATCCAAGGGGCTCAAGAATAGTTCAAAATACTCAAATCACAAAGCATAATACATGAAATCAACAGAGTAAAGGACAAAAAAAAATGATCATTGCAATAGATGCAGAAAAAGCATTAAAAATTTAATGTCTCTTCATTATTAGAAAATTAATATTAAGGATACATCACACTTTTTATAAAGGGAATTTATCATAAATTACAGCCAACTTCATACTATATGAGAAAAATCTGAAAACATTTGCTGTATGATTAAGAACAAGATAAAAGTGTTCCCTTTTACCACTCTTATTCAACTTAGTATTGGAGGTCCTAGCCAGATCAATAAAGCATAGAAAATAAATATAGGACATCCAGATAGAAATGGAGGAAGTTACAATATCCCTATTGCAGAAAACATGATTTTATATAGAGAAAAACCTGAAGACTCTGCCAAAAATGCTGTTAGACCTGTCAAGAAACTCAGCAGAGTTTCAGGATAAAGAATCAACTTGCAAAAGTAAGCAGCACTTTTATATACCAATAAAAAACTTGCTGAGAAAGAAATGAAGAAAGTAATCCCAGAATATCTTTAACCAAGAAAGCGAATGATCTATGTAATGAAAGTTACAGAACAATGATGAAAAAATAGAAGAAGACACTAAAAATTAAAAGATGTCTTCATCGGATCAGCGCGGTGCACCGGCTGCAGCGCGGCGGCCATTGGAGGGTGAACCAACGGCAAAAGGAAGATCTGTCTCTCTGTCTCTCTCTCTCACTGTCCACTCTGCCTGTAAAAAAAAAAAAAAAAAAAAGTGTCTCATGTTCATAGGTTGGAAGAATCAATTGTTAAAAAGTCCACACTACACAAAGTAATCAACAGATTTAGTGCAATCCACATCAAAATAGCAATGAAATTCATTGCAGAACTAGAAAAGTAATCCTAAAGTTCATAGAAACCACAGAAAATACCAGAGAGCCAGACAGATAATGAGCAAAAGCAACATATAGCTGGAAACATCACAATACCTGATCTCAAAACATGCTATAAAGCTAAAATAATCAAAACAGCATGCGTTGGCATAAAAACTGTCACAGACCAGTGGAACAGAATTTTAAAAACCATAAATAAATCCATGCATTATAACCTAGTGATCTTTTACAAAAATGCTAAGAACAGCCATTAGGGAAAGAAGAGTTTTCAATAAATATTGCTGGGAAACTGGATATTCATATGCAGAGGAATGAAACTATACCCCTGTCTCTTACCTTATGTAAAAATAAACTCAAAACAGATCAAAGACCTAAATGTAATGCCTGAAAAACATGGGGTAAATTCTTCAAGACATTAGTATGGCCGTGATTTTTTTATAAGTCCCCTAAAACACAGTCAACAAAAGCAAAAATAAACAAATGGAATTTTCAAGCTAGGAAGCTTCTAAACAGCAAAAGAAATAATCAATAGAGTGAAGAGACAGTGAACAGAGTGACAAGATAGCAGACAGAATGGGGAAAATGTTTTTGTACACTATTCATCTTATCATATCCAGAATATTGAAAGAACTCAATAGTTGAGAGAAATCTGAACTTTAAAATTGGGAAATGATCTGAATAGACATTTCTCAAAAGCGGATATAGAATTAGATAACAAGTATATGAAAAAAAATCGTTAACATTACTAATCATTGGAGAATAAAAGAAAACTACAATGAGATGTTCTCCCACCCAGTTAGAATGGCTATGATCTGGGGCCAGCACTGTGGGGTAACAGGTAAAGCCAAAGTCTGTGCCACATGGGCGCCGGTTCAAGTCCTGACTGCTCCACTTTCCATCCAGCTCCCTGCTAATGCACCTGGGAAAGCAGCAGTGGATGGCCCAACTGCTTGGGCCACTACACCCACGTGGGAGACCCAGGAAAAGTTCTTGGTTCCTGTCTTTGGATTGGCCCAGCCCTGGCCGATGCAACATTGGCCATTTGGGGAGGGAAACCAGCAGATGAAAGAGTCTCTCTCTCTCTCTCTCTCTCTCTCTCTCTGCCTCTGCCTTTCAAATAAATAGTCTTTTTAAAAAATAAGTGAAAAAAAGTTTATTTAAAAAGAGAATGGCTATTTAAATGACAAAAGCTAACAAATACTGGCAAGGATAGGAAAAAGGGGAAACTCTCATACACTATTGGTGGGATTGTAAATTAGTACAGTCATTATGGTACACAGCATGGATTTTCCTAAAAAAAAAATGAAAATAGAACTACTGTATGATCCAACAATCCCACTACTGAGTATATATCCAAAGGAAATAAAATCAGTATATCAAAGAAATAGCTGCACTCACATGTTTGTTGCAGCACTCTCCATTATGGCAAAGATACAGAATGAACTGAGGTGTGCATCAACAGATGAATAAAGAAAATATATTGTATAAACACACAATGGAACACTATTCAGCCATAGAAAGAAAGAAATTGTATAATTTGTGGTGGAACTGGAGGACATTAAATAAAATATGCCAAACACAGAAAGACGAATTCCATATATTCTTACTTATATGTGGGAAGTAATAAGTTGGTTTTATAGAAATAGAAAGTACAGTAGAGATTACTAGGGGTTAGGGAGAGTAGAAGGGAAGAGGAATAGAAAGATGTTGGATAAGAAATAAGTTCTAGTGTTCTGCAGTGGAATAGGATGACTATAGTTCACAGCATATTATATGTCTTATAAAGAACTAGAAAAGAACTAGAAAAGAAGTTTTAATAGCCTCCTAACAGAGAAATAATAAACATTTAAATAGACATAAATGCTAATTACCCTGACTTGATCTTTACACATTATATACTTGTATCATCACAGTGTATCCTGTAACTATGTGTAATTACTGTGTATCTGTTTTTAAATCAAATTTTAACAAGCTGTATGCAAGGATGTGCAATGAATATCTTGTTAAGATTTATACTGGGAAGCCGGCGACGTGGCTCACTAGGCTAATCCACCTGCGGCACTGGCACGCCAGGTTCTAGTCCTGGTTGGGCGCCAGTTCTGTCCCGGTTGCTCCTCTTCCAGTCCAGCTCTCTGCTGTGGCCCGGGAGTGCAGTGGAGGATGGCCCAAGTGCTTGGGTCCCTGCACCCGCATGGGAGACCAGGAGGAAGCACCTGTCTCCTGGCTTCGGATCTGCAGGGCATGCCGGCCATAGCTGCCATTTGGAGGGTGAACCAATGGAAAAAGGAAGACCTTTCTCTGTCTGTCTGTCTCTCTCTAACTCTGCCTGTCAAAAAAAAAAAAAAATTTATACTGGGAGCCATCTGCTAACATTAATTCAACTTACTATCAGATTTTAACAATAAACTTAAAATTGAAGAGTGTAGTTGTATAATAGTAACGTCTTTCTCCTTCACAATTCAAGTTAATGAAACTTCATCTTAAAGAATTCATCAAGTCCTATTAACCAAAATATTCAGAGTGTGTAAGATGGCAATAGTTTTTACTATTAGGAAAGTCAACTAATGCATACTGATCAGTGAAGGCAGTGAATTTTTCAGCATATCATCTAGTTTACTAGACTGTTTTAGTGATATATTACATTTATATATCGCTTGCAGTTGAGAAATTTGTAGTAATAAGCCTAGGCAAGATTTGCAATTTTACTCTAAGATCATTACCATGTTTCTTAAAGCAGAAGTTCTGATGTGCTGAAATAGTTTGTTCATAGTCCTGTTTTCTGTTAACAAGTTTTTTGATATGTAAAGAATCATCCGTAAGCTTGAGCTGCTATTTTACTGTTGTGTGTGGTTGATTTGTCCATTCCTTACAGAAACTCCCAAAGAGTCTAAACCACTGAGTATGACACTAAGAATACCCCCATTGCTCTAGTGTCTAGCTCTGTGCTGTGTTTATTTGCAGAGGACCCTCATGCATGAATCCATACAAATGAGGCAAACTGGAGCAGACTAGACTATGCCACTCACCAATCTTTGAGGAGGGAAGGTTGAAAACTGCAAGGCATGATTTTCACTTATAAGGAAGGTTTCAGTGCATGTAGCATTAATCAGGGTTTATAGTTCAGGTTTTTTGCTTTCAATAAAGAAAACAAAAGGAAATAAAAACAATCATCTGATTTGGTCATCTTTTGTCAAGGAAAACTCTCTGATCTACATGAATGGAACTTCCCTCCCAATGAGTAGCCTGCAGAATGGACTTCTGAATCTTGATTTTTTTTTTCAGTTTAATGAACTGGTTTTTAATCAACTAAAATTAATTTCTGTTGACTAAAAAGCCTATACAGGTAATTCCTAGCCTATACTGAGAAATAGGAACTTTTTTAAAATGTAGCACAAAAAGTCTATTAGAATAACATCAAATAACTTGTGTTTATTTCAGTTATTTCCATGCTACTGGGACCTGAAATTTTTCCCACTTAACCATCTTTCTCCAGGTTTTATTTCCATTGCTTACTGTACAAAGAAGAAAGATATTTAATGCTTATGAATTGCACAGTTTATCATCCAATGTGTCACTTATTTAAATAATTAAGTAACAGGTGTAAGATTGCTAGTATTTCTGTGTTGAAATAGGTGCTTCTCCTAAGGAAAAATCTTTTTGAAACTGCTCTACATTTAATGTGGCATCCTGTCATTGCATAGTAAATGATTCATCCATAACTTTAATGCAAGTAAGTAAATATGTTGGTGAATATCCTGTGTACTTCATGTGGCATCTAATGCTAACATAATCTGAAGATTTCAGTTGAAGTTTGTGTTGTTGCTTTTTTTTTTTTTTTAAGCTGAAATACTTGGCACTCTGCACAAGTGTCTCTCACTCATAATAATGCTTTGTTTCTTAACAAGACTACCAGGACATTTGGGTCCCAGACCAATATCCTTTTCCAGCCAAAACATCTCTGACAACAATTGCACTTTTTCTTTTCTTTTTCCCCTTCCCTCCCCGACTTAGGTTGGAAAGGCTGGTGGACGTCCTGCGGAAGAAGGTTGGAACAGGGACCGTGAGGACAGTGATCTGACTGAGAAAACGACAGTCTGGGGAAGTGATCACATCTGGTGACCAGGCTGCTTCATTCAACACTGTGTAAACACTAACGCCTTAACTTAGCAAACAGTTGTTAGAAGTGGGACACTCCAACCACATTCCAAGCTGAGATAAAATCAAATCACAAATGTTTAACCACTTTGCTGCTGACTTGAGTTATTTATCCAAATATATTAACCACAGACCTTTACCGATGGGTAGCTATAAGGTTGCAGCTTATTTTGTAATGATTTTATATCTCAATGCCTTTAATATAAATCTTTTTACTGAGAGACTATTGTAGAACCATGGTAAAGTTGGTCAGGATCATATCTTCACATATGGCCCTTTCTGAATCAAAGTGCAGCAAAGTAAATATTGTCTAAGCCTTAATCCACTGTGTTAGGTCAAAACTTCAAATACATGCATTTTTCAATAGAGAGTATATTTCTTAACTCATGAGAGAGTCTTAGACATAGGGGTATGTCATCTTCCTTCAATGCACATATGTAATCTTTGTTGATATTAAAGGATATCAAGTATAGATGCCATGAATTAAATGTATAATTTGCTTTCTTAAGAGTTTGATACATTAAAATTATACTCATCAAGCCATGGTTTTGTTTCACGATAAACAATACAGACCATTCTCAATAAAAATTGATTAATAATGTGTACTTGTAAGTTCATATTGCCAGTATTGTCAGTATTTTTAATGTTGAGTCAGAATAATTACCTAACCTCTACTTAAGCTGCAAAATCACCAGGTCTTTGTCTAATAGGTTAGAACACTTTGAGCTTGAATATTAGCATGTGCCAGCCTGTCTCTCTCCTAAAAGGCAAGAAACCATCAAATCTAAGTATTCTTATTGTTTATCTTTTTGTGGAGGAGGGAAATCCAATATATAGTATACAATGTAGACATATAAGAGTTTAGAAAAAAGTAAACCTGGATTTAGTTCAGGTTGTCCACCTTTTATTTTATTGAAGGTACAACTTAAAAAATTACAGCTTAGCAATTGCTTCTAATTATATGAAATTATGAATAAAACAGATTTTTTGTATTTGGAATTGGAAAAGTATCTTTATTTTTGAATTGAATCCAAATCTAATTCAATCTCAAAGATTATACACTTAATTGGCGAATATACTTGAATTGGTCAAAATTATATATTTTTAAATTCATCTTTAATATTGACCCAAATTTTCAGGGTAAGTATTTTCAGGACAATTTATTACAACATACTTTTTCACTTACTGTTGGAGATTATTCATTTTAATTTTTTTAATTTTGCAGAAAAATGTAAAGTATTTTATCAGAGATGACAAAAAGAGAGTCATAATACTAACAAATCCTATTTCTTCCTTATTAAATCTGTATTTGTTAAATTGGCAATTAGAATCATCCCATTGCATTCAGATTTGGAATTTACTCATGCTGCCTGCTTTTAGTGATTTTTTAAACTTAGAAAATAAGGTACAGAAGAGATTAAAAGTTAACTAACTGGATTTTCTCTATAGTCTTAAAGGTGTTGTAGCCTCCCGGGTGAGTGACAATATAGGGAAATTTAAAATAATTTGGTCCTGTCTCTGGGCTCTAATTGAAACCTGTAACAACTCCCTCTGTGAGGAACCACAGCTATTAAAGTCATCTAGGAGGTTCAGGTAAGTAAAGAGAAATAGTTCACTCCCCTAAATAGCCCATACCTGAGCCTTCTCAAAATAAATCACAAGTAGCTGTAAATTTTCAGTGTAGTCCTGCAGACAGACTTCTCCTGAGTTATTTTTGCCTGGGATTTTAAAAAACACAAAATGTAATGTAAAGACATTTTACAATTTCCAAACATCATTTTTTACATCTGAATGCTCAGATGAGAGCAACTAATTCCTATAATCAGTATCTGGAACTTTTATAGAATATATTAAATAACAATATTATTATTAATTGTATTATATGTTAATATAATTAATGGATTGATTAAAATATAACATATTATATATTAATATAATTAATAATAATATTATTATTTATAATAAGTTAAATCTGTAAAACAATTCTAAGATTCACATTGCTGTTTAGGTAATCTCCTAAAGTATCATATGTCCTTGAAAATTAAAGACCTATGAAATTATAAATTCAAAGTATTATAGCCAAATATGCATTTTTTCTAATTTTTTGGTTTTAAAATATTATTTTTTGTATGAAGAACAACCTTACTCACTGAAGATCAGTTATCTACCTTTTCAATCATAATGCAACTTCAGAATTATTCTTCACTGCTCAGAAATGTTCTTTGGGTTTTTGGGTTTGATTTAAACATCATCAAGTCTGATTCCTGTAGTAACATGGGGATTCACTTCTTGTACAAATAAGTAGTTCAGAGGAAAGGCAAAAAGGATAATACTAACATTTGTAGCACTGATGTTTTATAAACTCCTTTTCCATCTTTTTTATTTGATTCTGTCAATAGCCATATAATAATAACATATTATATCTCTCAACCATATAATTGTAATTATTAGAATAACTTTAGTATTACTGTTGTTATTGTTATAATTGCATTGCTTATACAGATGAAGAAACAGAGTCAGCGAGTTTTGGAACTTGCCAAGGACTGGCTAGTACTTAGGAACGAAGACTTTATAATGACACGCCATGCAACTGTATGTCTCAAAACCTTTCTAAAAGAAAAAAATTTAGGTAGAGATTTTAGGTCTTGCAATTTCTGTTATGGTACCATTTCTTTTATACACATATGAATTCCTTCATAATTAAAATATTGCACGTTTCTTTCAGTGAAGTACAGTAGTGAGGACTGTGTATGTAAAGGGCATTACATTATTACCACCTCCCTCGTATTACAGTAACAGCACACTTGCATCAGCCTTCACTCATGAGGAATATTGTGACAATTCATCGTTAATAAAACATACCCTGGAGTTACTTTGTAATGTTTTTAATTTGACCTGATGATAAAATCTGACAGTGCAGTTATATAAAATAATAGTCTGGATATGGTAAAGCAACTGTTAGAGATAAATCCACTGATAAGTTATTGGTTATAAATGAAGATAGGCAGTTTTAGCAAAATTATTATACTAGGAGTTTTTAATACAACTTTTATAAATAAACCACTGTTAAAAGTATTTAAAATGTTTAAATGTAGAATAAAATAATTTTGCTTACTTTTTTTCAATGAAAAAGTTGATATTTTCTGTATTTCTTTATTCAAATAAACTTATTCAGATCACTTATAGAATTATTTACTTACAAAAAGTAGCATATAAAATATTTAATTACTTACATATTTTATATGTAGTGTTCCTGAAGATCATATTTTTAAAGTTTCTATTTTCAATCGTAATTATTAAGGAATTACATGATAAAATATCCATTGTCCATACATTTTTATTTTCTTACATATGGTTTTAACGTAGCCCAATTTTTTCACAGATATTATCTTGTTGGTAACTGTTATTTACAACTAAGCTGTTTATTCACATATATACACACACAGATGTAAAATTACATTTGCTCTTTTAAAAATTATTTTATAAGTCAGCTGTTAGGCTCCAGTGATTTCAACATTTTCTTCTTGTTTTATTGGAAATACACGTGGTTTCTGAGGCTTTTAAACAAATACATAGAATGGCTGAAAGATTTATATTGCTCATGCTTAGCTAAATATGTCATCCCTAGAAAAGATGTGGTTTATTTTGGCACTGTTTTAAAAACTCAGATATTTTAAACATTTGTTAAGTTGGAGCTTGCACATTTGAACTAGTAGCATACATCCCAGAATAGCATCTCAAGTTACCAAACTCTATGTAATCCTTTTACTAGAATAACCTTTTTTGTAAAGGTTTTCTTTTTTGTTATGTACTTTGGTATAAGTTAAGTCAAACTTACAAAGGTTGAAGTTATTATTTTTAATGTAGTACTTCATAAATAGAATTTGGCAGTGATAAGTGTATATTTCTGAGAATCATGAAAATTAAAGGATTCAATGTTCATTTACAGAGCTCTCCACATGCTCATCTTTAATGTTTACTAAATACAGTTTTGGAGCATGCTAGTCTTTTAGAATCCACCAGTTTTCTTGACTGTCTGATTATTAACAAGGTTGTATTTTAATCACAAACTCAAATATTTTAAATGCGGAATTACCTATTTTTTTAATTATTTATTTGAGAGGTAGAGAGAAAGAGAGAGAAAGAGAGATCCCATTCACTGATTCAGTCCCCAAATGACCCAAGCCAAAACAAGGGACCTAAGAACTCAACCCAGGGCTCCCACAAGGGTTATAGGAACCCAACAACCTGAGCCACCCGTGCCCTCTAGGATCTGCATTAGCAGAAAGATGGAGTCAGGAGCCAGAGCCAGGGATCTGCGAGGTACTCTGATAGGGGACACAGGCGTCTGAGCCACCAGACTAAACACCCATCCATCCTTTTTTTTTTTTTTTTTTTGACAGGCAGAGTGGACAGTGAGAGAGACAGAGAGAAAGGTCTTCCTTTTGCCGCTGGTTCACCCTCCAATGGCCGCTGTGGCTGGCGCACTGCGCTGATCCGATGGCAGGAGCCAGGAGCCAGGTGCTTTTCCTGGTCTCCCATGGGGTGCAGGGCCCAAGCACTTGGGCCATCCTCCACTGCACTCCCTGGCCATAGCAGAGAGCTGGCCTGGAAGAGGGACAACCGGGACAGAACCCGGTGTGCCGGCGCCGCCAGGCGGAGGATTAGCCTAGTGAGCTGCAGCGCCGGCCTATACATTGATCTTAATCAGGTTTGTAAGTGTTCAGTCCTGAAGCCACTGTACAAGATTTATACAATAAGATATATTGCAGTAAGGAAACATTAAGTTCACCGTCAAACTGTGTCTAACTTCCTTAACAAGTTTAATAAATTGAGTGTTGAGGGGCTGGCGCTGTGGCATAGTGGGTAAAGACGCCGCCTGCGGTGCTGGTTCGAGACCCAGCTGCTCCACTTCAGATCCAGCTCTCTGCTATGACCTGGGAAAGCAGTAGTAGAAAAGTGCTTGGGTCCTTCCACTTGTGTGGAGACTGGGAAGAAGCTCCTGGCTCCTGGCTTTGGATCAGCCCAGCTCCAGCTGTTGCGGCCATTTGGGGAGTAAACCAGTGAATGGAAGACCTCTGTCTCTCTGCATCTGCCTCTCTGTAACTCTACCTTTCAAATAAATAAACAAATCTTTAAAAAAAAAATAAGAATGTTGATACAAATTTGCTAGGTACCTTGGGAACCTTTCAAAACTATTTAAATATAAAATAAAATTACAGCAATAAAAAAATTATAGAGAAATATTATTTTTTATTTTTCTTTTTATTTAACAGAGTTAGTTAGAGAGAGAGAGAGACAGAGAGAAAGGTCTTCCTTCTGTTGGTTCACCTCCCAAGTGGCTGCTTTGGCTGGCGTGCTGCGCCGACCCGAAGCGAGGAGCCAGGTGCCTCCTCCTTTTAGCACATATGGTTAGAAAGAATCTAAAAAGGAATATCATATCCTTTTAAATTAAAAAAATCAACTTAAATCCACTACAAATCACTTATAATTTTAGAATGTGTATGTGGAATTTCACTGTAACCAGCAGATGAAATTTAAAAACATTGTTTCTTCTGTGTTTGATTATTGTCATAGGAGATAAATAGACTATAGCACTCTACCAGTGAACTTAGAA